CTTCAGCTAACATGGAAGCTGCAGTCTGAAATCTCTGGAGGATACCAGGTTGGGAGAGTTAAGGATGATGAGATACATATATTTAGAGAATATCTGGTTGGGGGAAACTGACAGATGAATAGTGGACATAAGCAGGTAGCAGAGCCACAGAGGAAAGGGAATTAAAGGCTCAGATTGGTGAACAAAAACTAGGCATTTAGCTAGACAAACGAGGGCAAAGGAAAGCAGGGGACCAATTTCACCATCATGAGCCACATAATGTGCGACTGGATACAAGCTGTCTGTTTTTTTTCTCACTCAGCCCATTTTCAGGTAAAGGTGGATGGGAAAATCATAAGCAATTTGGATTTTAATTAGGGGAAGCAATAAGAAAATAACCTGTGCTGATTTCTCCACCCAGTGCAAGCTAAATGCCATCTTTTCTGCCCTCTGAGGGATTTAATTAAGCTCACCCCAATTAACTGAAAAGGACACACCTCTGCACAATCCATCAGCAATTTAGCCTTTCATACGGTAAAGGCAGATTTTGCGGACCCAGAGACTCTCCCCTCTCGCCGATTCTGCAGACTCGCCAGATTCAAGGGGGGGGGGGTAAAAAGCCAAAAGGCAACCATACAGAAAATTCTATTATTATTATTTTTTTAAAGGAGGGGAAAATAACGAATAAGCTTTACGGTACCTTAGCAGATCGCTGAGCGCTATCCCGATGCCTCCAAAGCCCAGCCGCAACTGAGCTGCCAATGGCTAGAGGGAGGAGTCCGGCCGATGTAACCCCGCCCACCCCACCCAATCGGAGAGGAGAAGGTGTGGCCGCAATGCTGCTCTGAGGGGGGAATCTTCGACTGCAAGAAGAGAGGCTTGAAAGGGCAGACCCGCACACCCCTTTGGAGTCGGGAGGAGGAGGGGGGGGAGAATTGACTGACAGACGAGTTCACCAACCACAGGAAGCAGAGCGGAGGGGGGCCCTCTGAGAAGCTGAATGGGCTTCTTTATGTGGGAACAGTTCGGGGAGAGGGTGAGAGGGGGAAGGGGGAGGATGAATGAGGTCTATTGTCTACTGGGGGGGGGGACTAGGATGACGTCAGAAGCTAGACCCTCTGGGGAAGAGGGGTGAAGCAAAACAGAAGTTATGCATTCTCTCCTTTCCAGTCCTAGCTCTCCATCAGGACCCTCTTTCCCTCCCATCAGCCCTTCCTTCAATCGCAGAACCAGAGATTCCCAAACTTGGTACTTTGGAGGGGAGGGGGAAACTAGCTGCGCAAGAATGACACCATCCAAGGCTACCTGGAAGCGCCTTTCAAAGCCTTGCATCCCTGAGTCAGTGCTGCTGGAGTTTCTCTTACCGGACGGGCTGTCACTCCACCTCATGTTGCTTTTGACTTTATTTTTAGTCTATCTCCCAGATTCAAGTTAGTAGAAAAATTGGGTACAGGTGAGACTCACTATTATGGCATCTAGGTTGGGTTCAGACAACAACCTCTCTGGGCTAATAGGTTGGACATGTGTGGTCCAGTATGTTGTAGGAAACCCAGGTGTTGTTTTAGAGCAGTGTTTCTCAACCTTGGCAACTTGAAGATATCTGGACAGTTGCCAAGGTTGAGAAACTCTGTTTTAGAGTGTTGTGTGAATCAAACTATCATGACTCTGTTTTGGTTCTGGGACATAAACATTCTGTGAAGGTATTATTATTTTTTATTTTTAGCTTTTAGTTTAGCAATTGGAGTGAATGCAGTCACAGTCTCTCATAGTCCCAGGACTCCTTCTGATCAGGAATCTTGTGCCAGTTTGACAATTTGCTCTAAAATGAAGCCTATGGCACATTAAAAGTTCAGAAATATGGCACACAAACAAACCAGATGGAGTTATGATTGGATTGCTGAGGCCACCATTTCTGACCCCACTCTTCAAACTTCCTTGGACTCAACCAGTGAGACCCTCTATAGCTACACTGTGGGTGCTGAGCTGGCTGGAAATAGATTTCTGAACACAATTCGGGTCCTGGTTTCACAATCTGTTGGTCTTAAATTTCTTGGATCCAGTTTTTCTACAGGATCATCTCTTCCAATTCAGTCAGCTCAAGAAGGTTTGGTGTGGGGTCCTCTTCTGGAAACTTAAAAAGAGTCAGGATCTCCAAGCAGCTTCTTATAAGAGAGATACCTCTCTGAAACATGCTACTCTCCAAAATTCAGGTGGCACCCAAAATTTTAATATTCTGGAAAGCCTAATGGTTTAGCTTTCTTGTATTTAAATCAGGATATCTTTGTGGTATGGCACCGTCAATTTTAGTTTAATTGTACTTTTAATGGCTGTTAATTTAAATAATGTTTAATTGGAGATATTATCAGTTCATTGTTTTCTGATGTGCATTATTTGCCAGAATTAAAGAGCAAGTTTGGTCTAGGCACCAAGCTAGAAGCCAGAAGACTGAATTCTGGTCCCACCTTAGGCATGAATGCCAATTGAGTGAGCTTGGGCCAGTCACTCTCTCTCAGCCCAACCTTCCTCAAGGGCTCTTAAGCAAACACCACTACCACAGGATTGTTTTTCTTAAGAACTGGACAGGAATCAACGGACATTTCCCACAAGGCAGGGCTGTGAGAAGTACAGTTTCCCTACCACTGTCCCATTGTTTATATCTCTAAGTGAATTGCAAGCAAGAGTGGAGCTGTTAAATGCAGCAGTGTCTGCAGCAGATCAAGAGGATAGCAAAATGATGACATATATGGGTTGATGTCACCACAGAAATGCCAATCATGGGTACCTGTGTCTCCATGTCGGATGCAAGTATGTATGTTGTGGTATAATCTACTCAACAGACATCTTACCATTTAGCTTACCCTGCACCCAACTTAGATGAAAGGTCGAGTTTATAAGCGGCATCACTACTCTTGGTCCTTGTTCAAATACCCATCTGGATGTGCAGGAAATAGCAAATGCTGCCAAAAGTCTAACTTTGGCACTCTTAAGGCTCACATCAATTTGAAAGAATTAATTGAGGCACGCATGCATGCAAAAAACAAGATGATGGGAACAAGCCTTCACATACTCTCCTGCACACACACACACACACACGCTAACATGTCAGATATATCCGAAATAGAGTGTGATGCATAAAGCTTATGGTGCAATAAATCTATGAGTCTTTAAACTCTAACAGATCAGATTTCTTCTTCTTCCTTTCCTTCTCTCTTTTGCCAGCGCTATTCTGCCCTCTCGTGGTAGATGAATGTCCCACTCCATCATACCAAGGTCACGCTGGCAGTGATGCAGCAAAAGTCCACAGGAGATGACCAAACAGAACCACCATCAATGAAATTAGCTGGAGCAAGGCCGAGAGGAAAGGTTCCCCATGCTACTTTTAGAGATTGAAGTGACTCAACAAATTGGCCTGTGATCATTTCCCCATCCAGAGTGATGAGATACTCTTGCTATATTTGTATGTGTTGATGCTGCATTCAACATTTATGAGCAAAAAAAAGGAAAGTAGAAACTTTCTCAGGCCTCAAAAGAGGAGGATGCAGTCAACATGTCAAAGGAAAGAAGATGAGTTGCATCTTACACAATGTACAACATGAACTGTGCTGGGAGTAAACAAGATTTTAAGCTATAGGAAGAGACATTTCATCTCTTAAAAGTTCATTTAAGTCTTCTCTAGGAAAAACTGAAATAATTCATTCAATTCTCTTTTCTTTGCTCTCTCTTTTTAACTCCTGAAACTTCATCCATAACTAAATCAAGCCTGGAAAGATTAATGCAGCATAGGCTTCAAGGAGACTTCAGATAGTATTGACAAAAAATATGATTATATCAGAGAATTCAAAAAGACAAACATGTCCAGTATTATTCTCTCTCTTCCCCCCGCCCCCCTCTCTCTCTCTCACAAACACACACACATNCAAAAAATGGCTTGTTTTTCACTCATTTTTGGCCTCTCCAGCCCCCAGGAGCTCTCCTACAGGCCATTTTGGTTAAGTGTGAAGGGTTTTGGGAGGCAAAAATGCTGTATTCAGTGTATAAGATGCACTCGGATTTTCACCTTCTCTTTTGAGGGAAAACGATGCGTCTTATACTCCGAAAAATACGGTAGTTCAGCCACATTTGAAGGCGGCCCAGATTATCTAAATATCTCCTACACAGGTACCCATCCAATTCAGGTCAGAGAAACCTCTTCTGTTGCAGGCCTCCTGTCTCTCTTGCTTATTATTTATATTAGCCTTTGTGTCTTGACGCAAGTTTCTTTTTTCTAGGGCTAAACCTGAACAATGTGCTTTTGCAGAAATCTCTGCCTTCCATTTTGGAAGCAGGAGGCGTTCTGAAGGGTAGAGAAGAAATAAATGAGGGTTGCTTGGAGTAGAACTTTAGCCCTGGGAAGGAGAAGTGGCTGCACTTTGCTGTTTTGAACCCAAATCTGTTTTCCTTATCTTTAGTTGATAACCAAGACCGCCTGGCCCTTCGCTTCGGGGAATCATTGGTGGACCCAGATATCGCTCGATCTGGAGTTGCCATTGTCCTGTGTATGGGCGGAGTGTTGTTCCTGGTCATCATGGGTGTGTAAGTGTTGCAAACAGTCTGCGGTTCCCTTAGAAAGCAATTTTTGGTTTAAAGGTTTAAAACGTTCTTCCATATCAAATGTGATACAAATAACTACACCTCATGTAGATTTTTTGAGGGTCATTAATTCTGCCTTTCTCCTAGGATTATTGTGTACTGGAAAAGTCAGATCTATCAGTATGTTTAGCTGTGATCTACCCCTTCCTCACTCCTAAGTGACACCTGCTGACTGAGATGACTTAGACCTTCCGAGTGTGAAGCCTAGCCAGCCCATCCTACCTTCAAGACGCCTTTGCTCACAGATTGGTATTCCCACATATTTTGCCTTCTTATCTCCTTCCCCGTGTTTCCCTGAATAAACACAAATCTCTTTGTGATTGCAAACTTACTCCTTAGTTTAAAACAGATGATTCTAGTCTGCTTAAAAAAAAAAAAGACAGATGTTCTTCTCCCTACAAATGGATTTCTTTTATTCAAGCTTGTCAAGAATGAAGATCAAGAATACTTTGAACGAAGAAAAGTCGCTGAAATGGCCTTCTGGCCTATATAGGCAATTAATAGCCCAAAGATTTTAGCAGCATGCGCTTCCTGTACTTGAAACACACCATGTACCTGGAAGTGAGGAAATGTGGTGAGGAGAGAGGGAAGATTAGATCTGATGGACATGAATTGAGTTCAAATCTACATATAATAGCAGACAAAGCTGGTGGTAAATTATACTATTATGCTTTACAGGTCGTCCTCAACTTACAACTATTTGTTGTCACTGTAGTAACTACAGTAGTGACAATACCTGTCCTCACACTTACATTACAACGTCCCCATGTTCATCTGATCAAAATTTGTGGGTTTGGCAACATTCATATATGCATTCATGCATATAAATAAAGTTAAATCCTAAATCCTAAATCCTAAATCACAACAGTTGCAAAGTCCTGAGATCATGTGATCACATTTTGCAATCTTTCCAGTCAGCTCCCAACAAGCAAAGTCAATGGGGGAAGTCAGATTTACTTAACAAATGTGTGATTCATTTAACAACCACAGTGATTCATTTAACAACCACAGTGATTCACTTAACAACTGTGGTAAAATCTGGCACAACTTGATCAACAACCATCTTGCTTAGCAACAGAAATTCTGATCTCAATTGTGGTCATAAGTCGAGCCTCCCCTGTATGAATAAATAAAGTAAGCTACACAAATTCTTGACCAATAAAAAATACAGGGATAAATGTTTCGTCCAAACCTTTCAGATTTCTGTTTGCTTTCTTTGTACCATATTTTCATATTGCCTGGATATACTACAGGATGACCCTGCCCATCAATGTTGTGGCCAAAAAGTATAGCACAAGTATACACATCAGGGAACGTGACAAAATAGTCATACCTATGAAGGCATTCCTATTTTTTTTTTCAATCTTTGCAGCTTCTGTGGACTTCAAGTCTCAGCATTCATACTAGCTCTTAAAGCTGCCAAAATTGAGAAAATGTGCTTTGGAGCTCTTACTTTTTTTTAAACTTTTTTCAAAAAGATCAAGATTTTCATTTTATAAATTTTTAATTCTGTGCTTGTACAGAAACTCTTCAAGCAATGCATGGAATAGGGAGAGTCTCCAGATTCTTTAGGAGGTAAGCATAATCATCAATTTTACAAGAAAATCCATTTCACTAACATCCTGTGATTTATTTAGGAACAAAGGTGGTAAGGAGAATTAGTCTATTGACTGTATTCTTTATCATTTAGGAAAATTCATAGGACTTGGGGTGTTTACTCACACAAGTATGATTGAGGTGGTTATCACTGACTCGCAAACAAGGAACACATAAAGAACAATTTCATTGTATTCTGCCAGACGTTTGTCTTCCACTGAAGAAGAGAAAATATTTTTTAGCTTTTTGTTATCAAGAAGCTCAGCATGGAAGCAAGGACTCTTCACAGTCAGTGAATATTGGAGTTGCTTAATATTTTTCGAATTTGATGGGCTCACTTTTCAAGTCATAAGCAGCCCTCATTAAAAAAAACTGTGTTTTGTTTTAGAGTCTTGCATGAACTCACATAAAATTTAATGCTGGGATAGAGTTTCTTTCTGCCCCAACAGTATATTGATCCAATTGCCTAAAAGGGCATCTTTAAATGGGAGCAAGAAGGGAGAAGTACGGGTAGACCTTGACTTATGATTGGTGATTTAGTGATTGCTTGAAGTTATGACGGACCTGTCTTAGGGCTAGCCTTCCATCCTTCTGAGGTCGGTCAAATGAGGTCCCAAATGTCTGTAAACCACATTCTTTAATCTTTAACAGATTAAAGAACCTTGCTAACTCTTAGGCTAACAATAGGTTAACGTATCTGGAGATGGGAAGACTAATTCAAAAGGCAATGAGTTGAGACACAGAATAAATCAAAAATCACCCTTCCCTTTCTTCATCCCTACCTCCACAGACTTCTCCATCAAAACACTGTGTGGTGATACGCAGACATGTCCAGCAGTCCAGAATAGGTCCTTCTATCACTGCTGCAAAAGAATAATGATTTCAAAAAAGCACCCATCGTCTAAGCCAGTGTTTCCCAACTTTGGCTACTTGTGTGGACAGCATGGCTGGCTGGGGAATTCTGGGAGTTGAAGTCCACACAGCTTCAAGTGGCCAAGGTTGGGAAACACTAGTTTAAGTAGTAAATAACTGAAGACGTGAAGGTCAAAACTTGTCTGATACTTACTGCAGTCCTCTGAACAAGCTAGAAGGTGCGAAGGAAAAGAAAAGAGGATTGTTTTAGAGTCTGAAAACTCGAAGACACTTTTTCCTAGTTCAGAATGATAAGCAAGCAAGAATTCAACAGTACAGTATCAAGACAGTGGTTTTAGGATGTCTCATAGGTTTTCCTCCAAGGGACAATTTTTATATTGGCATTTTCTAAATAAAATTAATATATTTCAAATTGATGGGTGAGAGCAAATCTAAGCTAGAGTACTAAGGCACTGAATTATATATGGGACATTTTGGATTTTGGGACAGAAATAAATTCCAATTCTTCCACGTTCCCATCCCGTCTCCAAGGCATTGAGGAGCCCTACATAAATCTTGCTTCATTGATGGCAAAGGTCCACAATTTCCATAAGGAAAAAGCCATATTTCTTTCTGCCACAAAAGAAGAATAAAATTCAAGATGTCAACTATAGTTGCAGACATCATTTGGACTTCTTCAACATACATCCACTGACCCATGGCAGATACTCCCCATTTCCTGCCATGATAGTATCAAGGAACTCTGAGATGGGAGGATTGGTTCCAAAAGGACACACAACTTCCAGAAGCACCTTTTCCAACATGCCTTTAAAGGCAAATCAGGGTTTGGATGGAGCTGTCTTCTGCTTGGGTTTTCCCCATCTCCTGTGCTGCGAATGCTTTTGATACTTTTAGCTAACTATAGATTTTGAGATCCTTTTTTCATAATCCAACATGGCTAAGAGGCTTGTTTTTGGAGTCCTCCCTACCTGCACGTCATCCCATTTAACCTGGAGTACCATATTTTTCGGAGTATAAGGCGCATCTTTTTCCCTCAAAAAAGAGGGTGAAAATCTGGGTGCATCTTATACACTGAATACAGCATTTTTGGCCTTCTGAAACCCTGCCCCTTTTGCAAAAATGGATGTGCAGAGGGTTTGGGAGGCCTGCAAAGTGCTCCTTGGGGCTGGAGAGGGTAAAAACAAGCTGTTATTTTGCTCGTTTTTGCCTTCCCCAGTGCCCAGGAGGACTCTACATGCCTCCCAAAGCCTACGCGTGCCCTGTTCTTTAAAAAAAAACAAAAAAAAAACGAGGCCTGCAGAGGGTTTGGGAGGCCTGCAGAGTCAAAAACTTTTTATTTATTTATTTATCTCTTCAAAATCTTGGTGCGTCTTATAGTCCAAAAATATGATACTTACTATAAAAATAGATATTCCTAAAGCAGTATTTTCCAATTTTGGCATTTTTAGGATGCGTGGACTCCAACTCCCAGGATTCCTGGGAATTGGAGTCTGCACATCTTAAACATGTCAAGGCTGGAAAACACTATCAAAAAGTTATTAAGTTTGTTTGTGTGTCTGTGTACATATACGTGAGGGAGATAGGCTGTGCTGGAAGTTTTGCCTCCTCTTTTTTCACTCTTCAGAATTGTTACCAAGATCAGCAAATTCTTCCAGAATCTGGCGAATCTTCTTTCTCAGGGAAAAGCGTAGCTGGTACATAGAGAGCTGCCACAGCAAAACTCCTAAGAGGAAGGTAGAAGAGGAGAAAATGGAAGAGAAGATGATTCTGAGCAAGACTGAGCTGGAGAAGATTCAAAAGCACCAGTAGAGTAGAATATCTGTAGTTCAACATGGTTGGACTGTGGGGTCCTTGATGCTCTCTGAGCGTGGCTGTTTTCTTGCAGATTATATTACTTACTTACTTACTTATTTATTTATTTATTTATTTGTTTAAAAAAATTATTTTTGTTACATAGACAACATAATCACATAACATTAGAAAAAGAAAGGCAGGGGGGAAAAAAACCCCACACACAGAAAGAAAAGAAAAAAAAACCATCATCCCATACAGTATGTCATTTGATTACAGGTGCATCCCTACTANATATATGTAGTCTTGTCTGTCAGACAGTCTTAATTATAATTCTGTACTCAATCTTAACTAAAAGGCCAAAAAGCCTTGTGGCTGTGATTAAGATTTGAATTGCTTTGACTGACGGTAGTACTTATTAACTTATTAAAATGCATTCCATAGTATTAATGTTAATTTTATTTGCATTTCCTATTTAAGAGACGAAATAATTGCCCTGAGAAAGAATTCTATATTGCCAGTCCCAGTCTCTAATAAAATTTATTTATTCAATTTTGGCACTGTTCAACTTCAAACTGGGCAGCCTACAACGTAAAGAAAACTCGATTGAACTACAACAAGGAAATAAAATACAATAAAGTAAATAAACGAGATGGGAAATCCAGACATCCAACCAAAACATATACAACATATGTCAAACATATGTCAAACAATAGCTTTCCGCCACCTTACCCCACCTTACAGCCAGGTCTTTAAAGTAAACCGGAATGTCAGGCTGGGAGCCATCTGGATTTCAAGAGGACCTCACTCCAGAAGATGGAAAGATGACACTGTTTAATCAAAGGGGCCTGGAATATGCCCACTCTCTCGGTTCGTAGTGGCTAGGACAGTGTTTCTCAACCTTGGCAACTTGAAGACGTCTGGATTTCAACTCCCAGAATTCCCCAACCAGCAAATGCTGGCTGGGGAATTCTGGGAGTTGAAGTCCAGACGTCTTCAAGTTGCCAAGGTTGAGAAACACTGGGCTAGGAGAAACCATGAGAGGTAGGTAGTCCCTCAAATAACTGGACCATATTTCATGTAGGATTTTATAGTTGATAGCCAGCACTCAAAGGTGTTTTTTCAAAAAGTAATTGGACTGGTTTTCCTTGATTGACTATGTAATCTTACATAGAAGACATTTTGCTCCTCATCCAAGAAGCTTCATTGGTTCTGGTTCATCCAAGAAGTTGGGCCAGAGCCAATGAAGCTTCTTCAAAGAGAAGCAAAATGTCTTCTTCCTCAGAGAACAAACAGTCTAGTTGCTTTTTGAGAAAAAGCATATTTGAGACAGTTACCTGGATAACTGAAAATCTCCACAGACATTTGATAACATGCACTTTGATACCCATAAACCTAGCCACTAGATCCAGTGCAATTCATGAAGCTGGAGGGCCAAGTGGTCATTATGAGGCAATTCCACCATTGCTCATTCCACTGCATTCTGAACCAGGTAAAATTTCTGGGTGGTTTTCAAGGGTAGTCCATTGTAGATAATAATTATTTGTTAATCAGGTCATGGCTTAGGGCAGTGTTTGTGAACCTTAGTTATTTTCTTGGCAATTGGGCAGTATCTACAGTTGGTGATTGTAGCTTTCAGAGAGGCCTTTACACAGTTTGTACACAAGAGTCACAATTTCTGATAGAATGCATAAGGGTGTACTAATTACATAAGCAGAATGTTAATACAGGGAGATGCAAAGCAAATACCTATTGTTTAACTAATGGTGAATAATGTCAGTGTTTATCCTAAAGGTGTGTAGTGAGGTAATCAATGTGACTTGTGGTTTACCTAGCAAATGTCAGTTTCTGAGTCTGGGAAGGGTCAATGAATCCAATGCACTAGCAAAAGAAGACATCAATACATTCCAGCAAATATTTCCGCCACATTTGGGGTTAAAATACCTCTTAGATTAGAACAATATAGCTGGACAGCTTATGTGAATTGTGATGATGTGCTGTTCTGTTCCAGCAATCCCCATATTTTCTTACAAAATATGTTAGGCTCAGCTGCCTATATATTTCTCTCTGTTCCTGCCTATTGAGGAATTTAGGTGATGTTGCAAGAACTATTTTGGAGCATCTGAAGCAGAAAAGGCCTGTCTACACACGCAAGTAAGATTACATAGTCAATTTCACACAAACAATTTCAAAAATCACACTGGCTAATCCACACTTGGTCATTTACACCAGTGTTTTTCAACCTTTTTTGTGCAAAGGCACACTTTTTTCATGAAAAAAATCACGAGGCACACCACCATTAGAAAATGTTAAATTTTTTTAACTCTGTGCCTATATTTACTATAGGCAGGTGTTTTTCCCACGGCACACCTTACACTATGTCACGGCACACTAGTGTGCCACGGCACAGTGGTTGAAAAACACTGATTTACACGTTTCTAAGCAAGTGGAAAATCCCCTAAAGTTTGGCTTTCAATAATAACACTTCTAAAGAACGCAAAACTTTTAAATGTGCAGCCCAGCCCCAGAAGTTCCCTTCCTCTGTCTTCAACTATAAATTATAAATTTGAGAGCAAGGATTGCCATACTTTTAATCCCTGGAAGGTTTCTTTAAGAGCTTTTATAAATATTAATATTAGCTTGGCAGTGGAGGAAAAATAATACAGGGGCTTAATAGATATTAAAAATGAATAACCTCTTTGTTTATAAAGTATGACTGGGAAAACATGTAGCTGCTTTCCTGTTCAATATCTTCCAAACTTGTTGGGGCTACAACATCCAAGATTCTTTAGCTAGGCCATGCTGCCAGGGAATTCTGGGAGTTGAAGTCCCAGAACATCTGGAGAGCATCAATGCAATGAGCTGATATACAGATGGAAGAAGCTGATCTAGGCTGGGACACGATGTACAGTTGATAGGCTCTTTCTTGGAAGAAGAATGTAAAGGTAGTCCTTGACTTACAACAGTTCATTTAGTGACTATTTGAAGTTACAATGGCATTGAAAAATGTGACTTATGACCATTTTTCATACTTATGATTATTGCAGCCTCTCCATAGTCACATGATTTACATTGAGATGCTTGACAGTTAATTCACATTTATGACGGTTGCATGTTCTGGAGTCATGTGATCCCCTTTTGATCCCCTTCTGACAAGCAAAAGTCAATGGGGAAACCAGATTCACTTAACAACCGTATTACTAATTTAAGAACTTAAATGATTCACTTAACAAATGTGGCGAGAAAAGTCGCAAAATGGGGCAAAACTCTTTTAACAAATTTCTCACTAAGCAGCATAAATTTGGGGCTAAATTGTGGTCTTAAGTTGAGGACTTCCTGTATTTGTTTAGTAGTGACTATTCAAAGTTATAATGTCACTGAAAAAAGGGACTTACAACTGGTCCTCACACTTACAACCATCGCAGAATCCCCATAGTCATGTGATCCAAATTCAGGTACCTGACAATGGGCATATATTTACGATAGTTGCAGCATCCTGAGGTCTCGTGACCACCCTTTGTTTCCTTCCTTTCTTTCTAACAAACAAAGTCAACTGGGGAAGCTGGTTTTGCTTAACGTCTGTGTGAATCACTTAACAACTGCACTGTTTCACTTAACAACCATGGCAAAAGAGGTTATAAAATTGGGCTTGGCTTATTTAACAACTGCTTTGCTTAGCAATAGAAATTCTGGTCCCAACTGTGGTGGTAAGTCAAAGATTATCTGTATTGACTAATTGCCCAAGCAGAATCTTATGATTCAGATGATAATGTTCTGCTTATGCCATTCTGATGTCATGATCAGCAGAACTTTGCGATTCTCCGATTCCTTTTGCTCACATTTAGACATGGTGCTCCTAGGATTTTCTTCACTGCTTTTCCTGGTATGGATTCCCACCAGAATTTGGACCTGCTTACAATGTGATCCAGAGTTTAAGAGCAATATAGCTAAGCTCCGGACTGACGTCGTTCCCAAAAATATGCAGGACACTCGCTTGAAGGCACGGGCTGAAGTCCTACTCAGAGGCCTTGAGGGGGATTTTTTCGTGCATTATGCCACTAGCCAGTTTTCGGGATTGGCAGGTACAACTCTGTGTAATCCTTTGCCTACAGGTCAGCCCTGCCCTCTGGGGCTTTGTTCATATAAAGCAAGTGTCCAACCTTGGCACCTTTAAGACTTGTCGACTTCAACTCCCAGAATTCAGCAATGCTGGCTGGAGAATTCTGGGAGTTGAAGTCCACAACTCTTAAAGTTGCCAAGGTTGGATGTCTCTGATTTAAAGGCTGTATGAAGAACTGTCTCTTGTCTATTATGTCCACCCAGCTCACCAGGATGGGAAGGCAGGGTATGCTGCAGGTCCGATCAATTAGAAATGTACATCTGGTGCAGTGGTGGGTTTCAAATAATTTAACAACGGGTTCTCTGCCCTAATGACCAGCTGGGTATGCGTGGCTCAGTGGCCATGTGAGCGTATGGGTGTAGCCAACTCAATGTCACTCAGGTTGATGGGCGCTTCGCCTTAGGTGTCACAATGTAATAAGGGTTAACCAGAGAGAGTTTCTGTAAGCAGGGCAATAAAGATTAGGCTAGAAACAACACCAGAATGTTTCCTTCCTGCCTTCCTTACAGGATTAGCCCTGTAAAGTGGGGAAAAATACAAAATGAGATTTCTTCCAACAACCGGTTCTTCCAACTCCTTAGAAAGTTAACAACCGGTTCTCCCGAATAGGTGCGGA